GATAAAGGTGACTTTTCTCGGACAACGGGTGCCTATGTTTGCGATAACGCCCGCGAAATATGCGACGCCTACATTTGAAAGATATATCGCGTGCGTGGAATATGTGTCTCTCGGAGGAGGCATTCTTCTCAGAGGTCAACGGTGCATCCGTGGTAAAACGAACGGGACCAATTGAATCTAGTTTACCCCTGAACAGTATTATATATATATATACATATTCTTCTCAGCGATAAGCAGAGAAGCGTGACAAATCCTGTTACCGTAAACTACCGATAATTTAAGTATCCGTTGCGAGGGAACGCGATCCAGGGAGCGCAACAAAGGATGTCGTGCAGCGGAGTACCTTAGAAAAGAAAATTACTTCCTAAGTAGACGTCTCCAATTCGGGGAAAATGATGTGGCGAGGGTAATCGTATAACGTTGTTGCGGAATTGGGCCAATTTGGGTGACAAGCGATTACGGTGGGGCACGCGAGACTCCCAACCGAAGTAGACGTCGCCGATTCGCGCCGATTAGATCGACCTTTTCGACGAATCCGGTAGCGGTTCGATCGCTCCTTGGCTACCGGTCTTTGCCACGGCTCGCGTGGATCCTATTGTATACCAAAAGTGGACCGATGTCCGCGTCAGCCAAATGTTCTCTAAAACCCGTCATTTCGGTCCGTCACGAGTCATAACCGCCGACGTAATAGTCGCTGATCAAAGATGGCCGCCACAATGGCGGCGGGATTCCCCCGGGCACCGCTTCGCCTTTTCATACGCTTAGCCATCCTAAACGAGCGGCTTTCCTTCCGCTAAACGCCGACACGCGATTCCACCGGCGTGGCAGCCGCATTAGAAACCATTCGGCCGCTCCCGGTTCCCGCTCAGGTCCTTTGTCCTCTGCTCTTTTTGTCCGGGATAAATACGTATCCTTCCAAGTGCGTCGATTTCGTGAACCGGTTCAATCCACTGTTTCCCTCGCAGCTCGACAGCTCTCGTAAATCGGTTACCAAACCGCTAACAAGCGGCAACTCGGGTTATTAAGGCTCGTTTTTTCAAAACGTTTCTCGCCTTTCGAACGCGCATCGAAATCGTCGAAACCTCGATGCCTTCCCGGCCCTCGAGCGATCTTCTTTCGGCTCTGTTCGCTCGCCGCCTGTCTTTACGCATGCTGCAGCGTTCGACAGAAGGAAATCCATGATTACGATCATCGAATAATGGAGTCTATGGGCCCTTGGTGATTATCGGAGGTATCGCTTTGCTTTCCTTTCCTTTCTAGTTCTGTTCAAAATGACACTTGGCTGTCAGGCACCCGTTTGTTGTATCGGTCCCGCCGCTAACAGGAGGTCGATGGAACAATATTTGGCTCCGTGTATTTGTATTGAACCGCGAGGGTGGCTGCAGGACGAGCGAGGTACGCGCGTCAGTCAGTCAGTCAGTCAGTCAGTCAGTCAATCAGTCAGTCAGTCAGCGGAGGAGTCCTTTTTGCCGAACGGGGTGCATGCGTAATAAGCCAGCGCGCCATTTCTCGCTCCCTGTTTTCGTCCTGGCCGCGTCCCGTCTTCTGGATCCCTCCTACGATCCCTCTGCGACACCCTACGCTCGACGATACGTAGAAAGGCGGAGTGCGGCCGCTCCTTTCTACGCCGTCGACCAAATCCACGCGCAAATACGCCAGCCGGTCGCAACTGTTCGGCCTGGACGTGAGTAAACAACCGCGTTCGGTCGCGATGCAAATTAGATTCAAATTCGACGCGACGATGGCAGCCCTCGAGACGGGCGAAATTTATTAATAGACGGCGAATGAAAACACCGTGTAACGACTCGGTCTCGCCGGTTTAGCGAGTGGCTCGCGGTTCTTTATGCTCGAGACGAGGCTCGATGGTCACTCGGCTCTCGGATCCTTTCTAGCCGCGGGAACATTGTGTCCAGACGGACGCGTCGACCCGATGAATTTCACCTTTCTTCTCGTCGTTACTCAGTCATTCACCCCTTGTTTGGACAAAACGTAACCGAGCGGGGAATCCTCGAGCAAACAGAGCAAAGCAAACTGCCGAACTGTCGAGGCATGTCACGGGCCTGATCGAGCTGCGACTCGAAGGATTCACTGTTCGACGGTAGACTAGTTAAAGTAAGGCAATTCCTGGGGATGGTTCGCTATTTTATTCCAAAATATAGAAGAAGCTTTGTATCAGGGAGACCGACAAGTAATCAAAATGTCTTCGACTTGGAGAAGTTGTTCAATGGAAAAATCGAAGGACTTTTTTTAGAAAGGAAAATTATTTCGTTGATTAGTGTTTAAGCATTCTTAAATTGATTACTTGAAATGATTACTTTTCGGTCCTCTTAATACGTCTATCGACCTTAATCGAAGTCAGCTCCGCGGAAAACGTCACTGCTGGCGTACCGTTTTCTAATTATCGTTCCGTCGCGAATCGGCGTCGTTCGTTGCGTCGTTCAACCGGGGAAATAAATTTCGAGAGTTAGCGGAGGGTGTCCCCGTTGCGCGAGAAATGAAGGGCCCGGGGACGTAAACGGGAAGCCCGTAACCGTTTCGAGACTTTTACTACGGTGAGTTTTCCTGATGACAGGAAACATTACTTACACGTGCATGCGGCTGGATGCGCGCTGCTTCGAATCGCGACATTAAGTCTAACGTTGCTGGTCGACGATGAAACGCGCCACGTAAGAGAACGAACGCGCTGTATCGAATCGGAAAACATTTCTAGAAAGTACGTAAGAACTACCTGTGCCCCGCGCTGAATGCTTCATATTTACTTTATGTCGTTCGCAGTCGACCGCGTGTTCCTTCGCGAATCGGTAGGTGACTTTTGTTTTCCGTAACTCGGGTGTTTCGATCGATATTTCCGATTGCTGAACTCCGCAAGTGTTCACTCGCACGTGTACGACTCGACCGTCGTGTCTGACCATTACTCGCCATTTCTACTTATGTTGCTAATTTACGTCGCTTCTGTTACGTTAACGTCCATTTCGATTAGCTGTGATCGTTTAAAAAAATTGAAGCTTGCGTAGAAGAGGTACGGTACATTAGACAATGCCAGAATCAGTAAAACTGGCCAATTATAAAAGATGATTAGCTGGTCGGCACGCGAACACCGACGGTTTATCGTTTATTCAGTCAGATCTTTTGACCGAATCCGATCTATGATCCAGTGAAAGGTAAAGATAAACGTTTCGCTCGCTGAATTCCAGAGGTTTCGTTCGAGGATTACCTTCAACGATTCGAGGGCTGTGGTGCCATCTAGAAACGTATACCCAAACTGAGTGAACCGATTGCTGAACGAATAGGGTCACCCTGTATCTTCTTCGTGAGAGCATCGAGACAAGCGTAAATTGCAATGACTCGACAAAGATTAACCAAAGATCATTTTCTCGATCTCTTTATTAGATGATAGAACAAACTTACACGCAGTTTTATTATTCAATTAGCGCAGAAAGGATCAGCAAGCGATAGAGCAACGAGGGAGAGGAACGAGAGTCTGGAGAAGTTTTGGAAAGCTGGGTCACACCCTCGACCTCCCGCCATCGAGCAATATTTCAGGATATCTTCTCGGATTCTTGCGGGCCTGCCGGACCCCCTATGGCCGTTGGCTACACGAAAGCATATACGTCACTGACGCACTGTCCGCGGTGATTCTGATGGATCCCGGGATTCGATGGGAACAAAAGAATGTTGGTTTAGCATGGAAGGCGTGTTTGTTATTTTGATGAGGTATAATGGGATGGATCTTGGGTGTTGATGCATAGCGCGTAGCAGGGTGCCGAGTCCAGAATCCCGTGGATCCAAATGGAGATCGGTACGGGCCCCGTAGGCTTCTTCGAGACCCCTGTAGACAGGGGCCGCAACACGTCCATCACGTGTCACGGTTATGTATTTAGACATATCTCACTGCTATCTTCCATGTCGTTCTTCCTCGCTCCCTGGTTCCCTCTTTCTTTTCCTCGTCCCTCTTCCGTCCTCCTCTCGGCTCTGACCTTTCTTTCGTTCACCATTTTTCTTCCCCTTCCACGTTCCACGTATTCGTCTTCACTTGCTACCAGCTTATCGTTGCGTTCCCTTTTCTCCGTATTCCCTTAATCGGTGCTCGAATACCCGCTACGAAAATATTACCTTGCCACCGAGTGATCCCGAAGCGAGCGAGTCCCGCATTCCTCCTGGCACACTAGAGATTACCCGCGACCCGTTCCCCACGTACGGTAGTAAATCGAACCCGAAGAATAACACAAAGTCCGATTCGTGCTTTCGTCGATCCTCTCGATCCGTCTTAACTTCTCGCGAGTGAACAACGACCAAGTCCACGCGATCGACTCGACGGTTAATCGATTCGAGTTCTCACAGTCTGCGACAGACTTCGAGTTTCTTTCCTCGGGCTGGTTCGTTGGTTTCTTTTTCAGAGGCGCGGACAAAGCTCGCGTTCCTCGCCGAGCCCCCTCGCTATCGCGGTCATTCATCGGCCAGCTATATTTCAACATTAATTTCCTAGATGATGATGCATGGCTCGCGTCAATGTCGTGCGTATACGGTCGTGAAGGTTCATCGTCGTCCTGGCCGTGTTCATCTTCTTTTTCTAAGGCTCGTCCGATCCGCTCTTTAACCGTCCTTCTCTTATTTCGAATAATCGCGGGCTCGACATAGCGACTCCCTCGATTGCCGCTCGTTAATATTGCCCCGTCGCGCGTAGCCGGTAGTAGCCGGCTCAGTTAGTTCTCTGTCGATTGAATTTTTTATTGCCCTAACGCACCAGCTCGCTTCCAACCGGTACGCTCTGTTGCCTCCGACGTTTACTCGGAATGCCCTCCATTTGTCAGTTCGTCTCGTGGATCCCGACAACGAAACAATATCCAGAAGAAGCATTCGTAATTCTCGTCTCCAATTTAGTCGGAGCTGACGCGTTCCACCACCCCGAATTCTATCATACGATCGTCCGATTCGAGCAAGGTTAAACGTAACATGTGAACTTTCTCGGCAGCCCTCCCCCTAAAATTCGTTACTCTACGTTCCGTTCGAATAATTTATTGTATACAAAGTAACAGAAATAAATACTTGAAAGCTTCGCGAAAGACCTACGAACACGTATTTGGCGATCGTTCGCTCGTATTTTCGAGGACTCGTTACTCGCCGTTGGCAACAGGCCTCGCGGGTTTCACCATGAAGTTGACGAAACCGTCGACGTCCTCGAGCTCTTTCGAGTAAAACTTGGCGGCGATCGTCGCTCTACCCTCGAATTTCGGTACCATGGAGAAGGAACACTCGGCGAACGCGTCGACGTCCACGGTTTCCGTCAGTTTTATTTTCAACTGTTCCTCAAGACCGGGTCCCTCGATCAAGAATCTACACTTTCTCAAGGTGAGGGGCAACGGGTTCTTAAACTTGGCCCTCGCGTTCAACGTCTCGCCGACCACGGGCTCGTTCTCCACCTGCGAAAGACGGTACTTTGATTTAAAAATCTATACGTGAACTTATACGCCACGTAACCTAGCTTCTCGATCTCTTGAACGTACAATCAGTCTACGTTTATCGAAGAAATTCGTCTAAATTAAATGATAGATTTGACGTTTCGAAAGAAAGTATAGTATAGAACGTATAGAAAGTATAGTAATACGCACCAGGATTTTGATGTCCGGTTTCCGAACGCGGAAGTCGTCCTGCGCAAAGTACTCGAAATTGGTGTCCTTGACCGTAGCCAGGCAGGAAATGTTGAACGCGCACTGGTTCAGCAATCTGGGCCCATATTCCTCCCAAGAAACCTCCATGCGCGCCTCTTCGAGGACCCCAGGTCTCACCAGTCGATCTATGCTCAATCGTTTCACCGGGTCTCCGACTCTACCGGTGTACAAAACCGTCTCCACCCTCAAGATCACGGACACCCGGTACTCTTGGTTCGTGCTTCTATTTTTGATCAGCAACACGACGCTGTAACGCGGATCAGCGAGATACCTGTATCAGTGATTTCCTCCATCGTAACGTTTTAACAAAAACTACAGACCTGAATGGCTGTCCGATCACGATATCGTCGCGGAGCTCGAAGCTGAAATGGACGTCGTTGAACTCCTCGTTGAGGTAGTAACGGCTGAACAATGACTGGCTTTGCCGCAACGCCTTCAACATGGCGGCCCGTTCTTCGTCCGACTCTGAGGAAAGAAACCAACGTAACAAACACACGTGGACCGAATAAAGGGGTTAGCTGGCATAAAGGCACCTACTTTCTGGATACTTGTACGTTTCGGTGATATCCTCCCTCGCCCATCTTCCCACCGCTTTCGTGCTGATAAACTGACCGATTCTAAAAGCCAAAAAGTAACAAATGAAAAGTTCAAGTTTTACAAACACGCAAGGACGAAAGAAGGCCACTCCAAATACTCACCCGTAGACGTCCTTTCGAATCAACTTCAACGGCTGAGTCGGCCCGTTGTACCGCCAGAACACTTTGTCAGCGTTCACCTCGGCGAAGAGGAAACCGTTGTCGTAAGGGCGAAGAACCTCGCCCTTTTTCACAGCAGCCACCGAAGCCGGCCCGCAACGGTACGCGTCTTCGCTCAGCTCCTGAGGCGTCGCGTCGATTGCTTGCCAACCGGAACAATCGGCCGACAGATCCATTCGCTGCATCCAAACTTCATTCCACACGTGGAAATTCCTGCAACGAAGACAAAGAAACGTGAGCATCTAGTCTACTTTGTATAATCGAAAGTACGAGACGATTAGACTCGCCATATGGAATCGCTGTTCAGCTCCTCCATGATCCTCCCCTCTTCGTCCACGAAATAATCAACGGTCAAGCTGCTCTGAGTGTCGTGGGCACTCGCATAGTTGGTCACCACCCGACAAGGTAGTCCCAGGGTGCGACACACGGTGGCCAGGACACCCGCAAACACCCAGCATTGGCCGTACTTGACAGGCTTCTTGGTCTTGTAGTACTGCTGAAGGATCTTCTGAGAGCCCAGCCATTTGGTCGGCGGTGTCCCACCCCCGAAATCGTCGGACCAATTACCCATCACCGCCCCGCTGTCGTCCGGGGAGTTTACCTAAAGCAGAGAGAACGTTTGTAAGTTTTCGATAAAGTGGAACGACCGAGTCCTCTCCGGTACTCACAGCCGCGGACAAAATGCGAGATATGACAACGGGGTCGCCCCTTCCGGAACTTCGAACTCTCCCGACTTGGATCATCAGATGCAGAGCGCAGTCCAATATATCACGCTCGAACTGCGAATATTTCCAAACCGTTGGTCTCAGGCGATTGTAACTTCCGCGCCATATCAAACCGTCCTCCGCCATCACGTATTCCTGGCGCTGATCTTCCTCCTCCAGGTACACCGCGTCGCCTAAAACACGATTCAGGGATCTGTGCTTCGCTGCCTCTCCTTGAAAGAAATGTCAAAGAACTTGCGCCGCGACGAGTTAACGATGAAATTCAATTTCGATACCTTCGCTCCACGGATTGAAAATCAGATAAAAGGGATTCTTCATCGTATAGCTGACAGCCCCGTCCAAGTTCTTGTTCTTGGTGTCGATGTCCATCTTCCACTTGCCTATTATGGCGTTCGCGTTTGGTACAATCTGGTAACACAGAGATGATTCATCTCGTCGTAACCCTGACGAAAGGCTGACCGAGAGACACGAGGGATTCGCTAACCTTCAATCGAAGAAAGTTCGCCTGAATGGCGTCGATGGTGGCTTGCCAGGAGCCCTCGGAAACCTCCCCCGGATAGAGAACAGGGGTCGCGACGAGGGTTCCGTGGCCATACTGAGGCTTCTCGATCCCATCCAACGTGAAAATCAGCGACATACCGTCGATGTTGGGATCGTAATCCCTGGACAAAGTCAGGTGCAAGTAGAACTCCTGTCCACGTCTGACGACCAACCTAGCCTTGTCGTCCTGTCGCGTCATCAGGTCGTATCTGGACGTCCTGTGATTCTCTCCATTTTCGGGGATGCACGGGTCCACGTCCAAGATCGTCAGAACGGGAACTCCAAAGTCCTCCCCTACGAGCAGATGCGATTTCGTATTCGCAGTCGAAATAACTGGAAAATAAACTCGAAGGTACCAGCCACTTGCACTCTCTCAAGTTTCACCTGTTCGACAGATGGAGATGGACGTCCGAGGATGACGATGGTTACGTAACGAAATTCTCTAAGGAACCGGCGAGCATCCTGGTACGCACTCGTTGCTAAATTTGCGCTCGTGGCAGACTGCCAGACGCGATCGAGCTGCGGTCGAACCGCGAATTATTAACCCTTTCGCGGCCAAGTCCTCGACGGTGGACGAACGACACGGAAAATATACAAAATTTCAGACGGACGGTTACAAAGTTATAGATGCTTGCGTTTTTATGCCAGGACACTTTCTGATCAGGGGTCGAAACAGTCGCGAACAGTGTAAAAATAGGAATAAAAGAAAAAAAAAATAAAAATAAAAAGAGATGTACACGTCGAATCGAGTAACCTCTTCCTTTTCGAAATCGGTTAAAAAATGAAATAAAAGTAAACGAGGCGTTGAGATGTCGAGTGCGATTCACTTACAGTAAAATCTGAACGGAAACGGTCTGAATCGGCGATCATTGAAAGGCCGGTAGCGATCGTAGAATCTATAAAACATCCTTCGAGGATCGGGGAAGGCGAACTCGTCCCTCGAAAACGAACGTAAGACTGAATCCATCGACGGCAATCGCGCCGAGGTCTTTCGCTTTCGAAGAGTTCCGTGAAATCACTGAAAGGCCGCTCCTCGTCGACGAAGAGGAAGGAAAAGCGGTGCGTCGCGGCGCGCCGCGTCGGGTGGGTTGCTGCGTTCTAGGAGTCCACTCAAGGACTTTTCTGCATCGGCAAGCGCGGCCATACATGGTGTCATCGATGACTCCGATACCAGTAGGAGTCACCTACTTTTCATCCTGTCAATTACTTCGCGTTATTTATTCCCGAGCGTCGAACGAGTCGGTCGATCGTTCTTTATCGACGATCGCTAATTACGCCTCTAAAAGGTGGTATCCGATGGACAGGTGGAAAGTCGCGGGGGATGGTTCGATCGCGCGGTTCAAAAAGGCGGTCAACGAGATCGGCGAAATGCCACGTGTCGTTTTTCGTTGAAAGAGTCGTTACACCGAAACGCTGACGCGTTCGCCGAGTTGGGAATCGGTAATTGCTCCATTAGCCTCGCACGGCTGCAGGAATCTAGATTTTTTTTTTTGTAACAACTTAATCTACGAAGAAGGCGGCCGTAGACAAACGATCGGATCGCGTCCATATGCGACGCAGAGAAAAACGAGGTCCAACAACAACGACCGTCACCCGGTTCCGATCGGCCGTAGTCGAAGGATTCTTTCCTCGAAGGCGATTTGTAAATTCATACGATCGAAAAACGAAACGACAGTCACCTAACAAGGAAAACAGCGACTTCGCGGCTAATGAAAAATCTGCGTTCACGGAACAAACAGGAGGCATTCGGCGTGACAAGAGCGCGCAGGTGAGGTGAGACGATGGAATGCGTTTCCGCAAACACGCGTTAACGGTGTGTCAACCGATCGTCGATCGGATAAGCGAGGAACGGGAGAAGCCTCCGTCGATTACGGCGCGTTAAGCTTGCTATTCGTCGGAAAAGCGAAACGCTCGAAAGATTTATCGAGCCGCCGTTTAATCTTCGGGAGGCTTTACGATCGGTAAGTTTCATAATTGAAGATTCCATCGCGGCCGAGCATCCACCCTCCGGTATAATAATCCATTAACGCGATTATAATATCCCCCTGGATCAATTAGCAGTAAATATTGATTAATTGCGTAATAACCGACGGGACGGACCAGGTTGGCTAATTATATAATAAATATCGTGTCAAACGATCGCGTTACAAGGTACCTTGCGCGCAGTCACGGTCGTCATTCGATTACTTCAACCGGTTTCGCACGAAACCGACGCTATTTCAGTGAGTCAGTCGGTGAGGCCGCCACGCGAGAAGTTATGGCGCGAACGGTACCTATAGGTATTGTTTTCGATTAAAAATAACGATGCGAGCCCGCGCTGCTATATATACAGGTACGCACAACCGTTCTAGAATCCGGATTATCCGTAACGGTCGATGACGGCTGACGATAATTTCGATCGCGACGCGTACAAGCGAGACAATCGCAATTTATTAATTCCCTATGACGTTTATTCTTTTCGATACTGAAGGCATTCGCGACGACCTTTACGACATCCAGCAGCCTCGCCGGTACACGTCGTCTTTGTGCTGCACTTTTTCGCGTCACCCAAGCGACGATAGTTGCATAAAAATTAGCATTCCGGTCGGCACGTGGCATTGCCGTACTATCGACCGAGGAAACGAATGTTTCAAAGAACCGCGGAATTTCGAAGATCCGTATCTTGCAATAAATTACGCTCATCGCGCTTTAAATCGTGGATCCTGCTTCCTTCTCGTACTCTTACGCTATCCACTCTAAAAACGAGTCGAGAATCGTTATATCCGCCACGAGCATAATTTCGATAGCGAATCACGCGAATCGTAAAAAGACGCCTCGTCAGAAAAACTTGACGCGCGTTTCGGGAAAAGCTCGGATAATAATAGGACTATGCGCAATTAAGGCTGACGTCATGTTTCGCGGCGATCAGGGCGCCGATTGCGTAACTTTACTTTCATTCATGGCAATGCACACGCCTCGAGGCCGCCACGCGCGACGCGTTAACTTGAACTTTCTGTGTCATCTAGAAAATCATAACTGCCATTCACGATCAAGTATTGCGAGCTGACCCAGTGCCTCCCAACCCCGCTTTACCATCGCGACACGCCTAGAGGAGGCTAACCCCGTTCGTAGGGCACACCTTGTCTAATGACAGTGATTATGCTGATTCTGTACAAAAATTGTGCATTAGCCTTGTAAAGTTACGAAAGAAGGATGAAGAATCGCCTCGAATAGCAAGGATACTTTAGCATAAATACATCTGCACATCAAATCGAGATTTTTCAGTAGGCAGAACTGACTGATCATTTTCGCATGGCACCACAGCGATTCCGCTAGCATTTCCCCGATACATACAATTTCGGCGTGACACCGTAGTGGTGACGCCGAATTAGGGAGAATTAAATAAATGCTTCCACCAAGCATTTCCATCGTTTCAAATTGGATTCGCGTCCCACGAGCAATCGCCTTTGGAATTCTGTGATTACCATTGATGAAAACGTTCGGATGCACAAGTGGGTGGTAGCAAGTGGCACGGGAATTGGTAAACAGAGTCTTCGCTGTTTATTGCGCGCGACGTCGTACGTCGTACCTGTTGGGAAGCACTGTAACGAACGCACCGGACATTTCTAACACCGAGGAATGTCGCCGGACTCGATGCTATCTCGAAACGAGTACAACCGTAATTGCAACGCAGGTACAGAGAAAAGAACGAGCGAAACTCTATATATGTTTACACTGTTCGCGAAAGAGGCGGAAGCCGAGGCTTTCCATCTGGCTGTGGGCCAGGGTTTATTTTCCTTGGTAAAGTATTATCAACCGAATCCCCGAGGAACGATATCGGCGTGCTTGTTAATATTACGAAACCCGATATTCGAAAATATTTAATCGGAAATATCTCGTAACTCTTTGTACCGTGGTCTTCTTCTTAAAACAGGATTTCGATCGAAATAAGTCTCCGCCAGTCAACGTAACTGATTTCGCAACGTTTCGTTGGTACCTCGCCCTCCACTGTTCGTCTATCCGCCCTTTTTCGCGTTATACGATTTTCTTCCGCGTGCGTCTAAACATTCCAGCCCGTGCCTCGAGTTGGGAATCGCTGGTGTCGAAGGACGCTAATGTTTCAAAAAGCGATAATCGGAAACACGTTGGGAACGTATCGAGTATCGAAGACCACTCGGTGGTGCGTACACTTGCTGGCACGTGATCGTCCTAAAATAAGTCTTACGTTGGTACCGGAAGAAACGGCGATCGTGCCGAAGGCTGGAAATTTTGGAAGTCCTTCGCGAATTAGTATGCAACGACGCGTGTTATTAATAGTCGCGACAAAGTATAGTCGTCCACACATATTACGCGAAATGACTCGATCTGGTATTCCAATAATTCTGTTGCTGTTATTATAAGTGCGCTCGGTATCGAAATTTGTTTCTGGATAAAATAGGATTTCATCTCGATAACGTTATCTCTGAACGGAGTACGGTCGACCCTAAGGTTCGTCGAATGTAATTTCTTTCCGGCGCGTGCCAGTGCATCGGTTCGTGATATCATTTACTTAATAAATAGTCAATTAACCCCGTTCAGTTACGGGTCAGGCGCGTTAAAGAGGAGGCAAAAGGGCAATCGCAGAAACGAACTCCTATTTACTGGAGATAAAAGGACCGCATCCGCGGTGATTTACGAGAGTATAGGAATGTCGATGGCATTACGCGTCCGTACGTAATTCGTAACGCGAATCTAAATGACGCGTACTTTTGAAAGGCAACGACCTGCGATCCAGTGTTATACGGAATGCGACTTGGAATTCCCGCGAACGCTAGTGATTCGCTCGAAAACGAGAGTTATCGTTCCCGGCGGGATTCTTCTGTGTTAGAGACGCTGCTTTTCGTAAGTAAACAAAGCTTACCTGGAGTAGGCGTAGCAGGTGGCCGCGGAAGGCACTCCGGTTTGGTGCATATCGGCTTCAGAGGGCTGTCGGTGACGGTTTCGGGCCTGAACACCGCCCTGAATCGCGAGAAACAGGAGCAGCACTTGCTCGTCTTGCACAATCCCATTATAACGTGAATACGATTCGTCCCGCGGCCAATTCTTTCATTACACTGCAATTTTTCCAAGCGAACAATCACCTCGAACCAATGTTTTATCAGCGTAAACCTCGCGCCAATGAGTTACTCGAAACACGGTTCTCCGCGGCAGACCAGTCGAAGAAAAATCTGAATCTCGCGGGTAGTAATTATTCGACCAAGGGCACCTGATCTATGTAAACCATCGATTCATTATCGAGGCAAAAAAAAAACAAAAAATCTATATCCACAACATTCCTAGAAACATCTACGATTACGGCTCGCTTAAACCTTTTTTCAATCTCGCAACCGCAATTTATCTTATCCTGACAGAAAGAAAACGCGTTGAGAATTCTAAATAAACCGTTGCGTACACTATTCGACGACACCGACGACAATTGTTGAAAAATTATTTCGCAAGTGTTTACGGTTGTAATTACTATTAAAAGTGTTTTCTGACCGCGTCGCGGATGATATCACGCCGCATTTTAAACACAAGCGCGAACTGATAGAGACGACGCCTCGTGTCGATCTGGTCGCAAGTAGATGAGCGACTGTCAGAGAATCATCTGGCATCGAGAACGATGCTAACGAGACAAGGCTGGATCTCCCCGCAGCCTTCGGTTAATTTTTAGGCGGTTACCAACAGTAACGATACCGCCGCCTTTTTGCGTGGACGCATAGCAATGCGTCGCTCTGTTTTAAAATTAAATAAACATGAAATAATTCGATAACGAAAGCCTCTCGAGTCACGCTTCTTTAACGCTGTTCTCTATTCGAGTTCTTGGCTCGCAACTCTACTCGTTGCACGCTACTGATTCTTCTCGCGCATCGGAATTCGCGCTGTTTTATACTTACCGCACATTCTTCAGGCTAGGCGCCAGTGTTGAGCGAAATATAATCCACGAATATGATTAACGAATGTACTTTCGAAACTCTGTGAATTCATCTGAAATTAAATCTCCTAACACGCGAAGCTCGGGTCACGGTCATTGATAATTTTCAACACGGCCATTCAACGGTTCTTATAGCATTTAGCTAAGCGTGTGTGTAATAAGTACGAGATTTCCTTGTAAGAATAAAAATTACTTTCAACGGATCGAACGATGAAAGAATGACTCACTAAGTTTAAACTTCGATAAATACTAACGAAAGCTGAGGTCGTGTCAACCTACATTCCGAGAATTTTTCGAACGCAACGACTATTTAAAGAGCATTGTCTTCAAAGAGAAATGATGTTGCTCATCTGTTTCGCGGGAACGAATTATGACGCGAAACAAAAATACCCGTTCGCGAATATTTCGCGGTAGCTCGCGAGTGAATAAGACACCACAATTTTATTTGTTAATTCACTGAAGTATATTCAAAATGTTATTGCCAATAGTCGGTTACATGCACCTGTATACGATGTATAAAATATACTACTTAGAGGGGTTTAAAATATTAGCTTAAATCGAATTCTGTGTCATCGCTGTGATTCTGGTATTCGGCTCTGTTATCTTCTATTTTTATAGCAGTTCGCATTATATCGTCTATAAGGACGTACAAGTACGTATACACGTAGTTACCAGATTCGTTCTGCAATCGAATTAAATACATGGTATAGATGTAAAAATTAAATATCGTAAAAAATTCTGAGGATAACTTACTTCTTGCACTTCTAAATTTACGGTCCCGCGTCTTCGTATACCTTGGATATAAAATTTCATTCTCATATGTCGCACCCCATCCTTTTCGAAGACCACGTGACTGCAAAGTTACATAACGAATATCGTTTATAAAGACTAACTTAAATATAAAGAATCCACAGTCTTACCTCACGTGAGTTCGACGTCCGCGTCGACTTTCTTCTCCGTATGCTTTTATAGGCTCTCCAAGAGCATCTATCACTTTAGGATGTTTTATGCAGATATTTAGTGCTTTACTGTAGACATTATTCGGACTTTTACTGGAGAATAATTCATTGAAAATTACATAGAACATTAAACCTGTAATTCCTATTCCACCAACTATTATGCTTAAGTATCCGATAGATTTTGTGTTCTCTCTAACTGAAAGAAATTAACATTCAAGGAGATGTAGATTTTTGAATACTTGCAATTTAATACCAACGTGAGATTTACCTACTTCCGCAAATCCAACTTGAACTTTATTCTCGTTCTCATTGCTATCGGATTTAGTTAGTGTTCTCTTTGTACTATAGGATACGCTTTGCTGAATGCTGGATAATCCACCAAAATGGGAAAGAATACGTACATTTGTTAGGCTACATACAGGTACGAGTCTTCTGTACAGAATGCAATTCATGACTCTAGCCGAAGCCATTATCTAGAATGTTATTAAATCAGAAAAAATTAAATAATTAAATTGATAGATAATTTACTATCGCGTAAACGACTTTTAATACATAATGTATGTCGTAAGACAAAAATCACGTATTTTACGACAGTAAAATCTTCCATATCTACTTACGAATGATAAATATTCCACTTGCACACAGCTGCAGCGTTCGCAAGTAAATAGTGGTGACTAGATTTCAAAAGAAGATCAATCCAAACAGCATTCCCATAATCCTCGATTATGTTTGAGTATTTTGCGATTCGATGAGACGAAATAAAGTTAGGTTATGAAGCTTCAAAGATAAAACAAAACATAACCTTTCTTTAATGTCAACAGTACTGCATCGACCGGTGCAATTCTCGCTAACGAAATTGTTAAAATAAACACAAATTTTGTTGATACAAACGTGGATAAAAATAAAATTCTTAATGAAGACTACTCCGCATCAAAGATTAGTTATGGTTGGCGATCGAGACGGGCAAGTAGCTTAATAAATATGTTTAAATAAACATTTTAATATCGAGTAGTATAATTTAGAGTATGTAAAGATTAATTTGAATGTTATATTGTCTGTTCTTAAGTAATTTAATATTTCTTATAACGAAATATCTTCTAAAGGAATTTTATTTTACTGATATGGGAAAATATGAAAACTTTGGTATATCGTATTGTCATTTTTCTTCTAGACTAAAAGAATTATTACGTCGTCGATTAGTGGAATGTGGTTGGAGAGATCAAGTAAAATTAATCTGCAAGGAGTTAATAAAAGAACATGGTCATGATATTACATATGACAAATTACTTTCCATTGTTACGACTAGAGCAAGAACACTTGTACCAGACTCTGTTAAAAAGGAGCTTTTGCAAAAGATAAAGAATCAACTTATTACTCAGGAAGAAAAATTAAAAATGTAACAAATTAGGGATTTTTATTTATAATGTTTTATTTTGTAAAAAGAATATCCTTTACTGACTACTATGTGAGAATATCGTTATATGATTTTAACATACATTACATATACTGCTATTTAATACTATGAATAACGTTAATTGATATACTTATCCTAAAGTTATAAATAAATTCTATTTACATAAATCGATGGAAGTTTTGTTTACCTAATTATGTACATTGGCATTGGTCAAATTTGTAAGCAATGTAATGCACTACATAAATTTATGAAATTGTAGTATTTTTAATTACTCGAAATATCAAGAACTTTCGTAAAAATTAATAAAATTAAAAATTACTTTTGCAACTAAAAAAAAATAATGTATGTTGTAAGTTTACGAATCTTCCGTTAGATGGAGACACGGGAAGCTTTAACTCGATATTAGGTATAGTTCGATATAACAGAAGTTTTATTCAAAGAGTCGCATTATATCTGTGTGTCAGTAGTTTTTAGTCTGTAATCCAGCAGTAATATATAAATTATCTTCTAATCTATAAAAGATGCTGATTAAGGTTAAGGTAAGAACGAGGCAATTGACGAAGTTGAAGTTACGACAGTTATGACTAGTTTCGGCAAAATTCTGATCTTACATTCTAACCTTTTTTCAGACTCTCACAGGAAAGGAGGCAAGTAATAGCCAAATGATGTTTAATTTCGATAAGTTCGACAACTAAATGCATAAAATTATATCGTCTAATCTATAATTGCAAAATAAGACAAATTTTGGAAGCGATAACCTCTCCTACCGCGATCGCGTTGCCATCTAAAAGTACAAAATTTGATATTTGACGTATCGTCTATAACTTATTTTTACAAGTTAGAGTAGTATTTAGGGTTACTTTGTTAAATAATAAACGGGCATATGGAAAAATTCGTAGTCATTATAAATATTGGTATCGGCGGTTCTTACAGATTGAAATAGATATAGAACCTACAGATAAGGTAGAAAGGATTAAGGAAAGAGTGGAAGAGAAGGAAGGTATACCACCGCCACAGCAGCGATTAATATTTTCTGGCAAGCAAATGTAAGTGTAATTGTGTGTAGAAATAATTTATATAATATAAGAGGATTGATTTCTGTAGAAAAAAGAATGCGGCGATTCGTTTTATTTGTAGTCAGACATAGTGTGATATTCCTTAAAGCAAGGGGTAACGCATAACCCTACATTACAGTAAGCGCAATAGTAACGGGATTCCTTTCGTAGACCTTTAGATGCGCAAACCCTACATCTTCTCGTAGCATTTGTCTTCTTTGGCGTAGATGGTACATACTCTGGAAAGTGACTTTCTACAGTCCTTACTGAATCTGGCTCGCATAGTTGTTTTGGTCTCCTTGTTCCTGTTCCATCAATTAGGATGTTTCAACGTTATTTTTTTTTCTCCTGCTTCTTTTCATCAAATGTGTCTTACAATATAAAACTCAGGTTGCTTAAAGTAAAACGCGTAGGTGCATCCTTAACACTTAGAAGACATCTTACAAGAAAAACGAAATCGTCTAAGCGTTAAGACTAGAAAATAAATGTAAAAAATGTTTTGTTGTTTTCTAGGAACGATGAAAAAACAGCGCACGATTATAAAGTCCAAGGTGGATCGGTGTTGCATTTAGTACTCGCATTAAGGGGCGGCTTATAATGACATTCCTCAGTTCGAAATGTAATTGTTCGTACCATGAAATGTACTAGATCAGGCACAAAAATAATATAAAAAATTTCACTTAAACGTGAAATAAATATTTAAATTAACAAAATGTAGTCGTAAGGTCCTAGTGTCTACTTTATCGATTGGAAAGTTTCTTCGGTTGCGATTCTACAATTGTTTTACGAAACCACGGATACAGGTGTAGACGCGACGGGATCGTGTCGTATCATTACTTTAATTTCGTTAAATATTCGACGTTTTTGTGACAGCGGGACCCGATCCGAATTTTATACAGCTCATCGATCGAATAGAATGTCGAACAATTCAAAAGTCTCTTCTATGATATTTGCTGTTATGAGTGGCCAGACTCCACTTCGTTTTGAAAAATCGCTTGCAAATATTGCAGTACGCGGTAGAGCTTGGCGATTCCTCGTGTTTCGATGTAACGTGCCGTAGAAGAGCGTGCGGCGTTGTAAACGATATACCGCATATATTGCAGAACGATCCTGGCGAATGCAAACTCCATGGCGGTGTCCTTGTGTGTGGCTCTATAAATTTATTTCTTCTTATAACTAACTACAATAATATTATAATACGCTGCGTGATGTATATTCGAATCGAGACCTTTTCCGGCATTGTTCTATAACAGTTCTTGTAACGCAAAGAACCGTTTCATTTAGCAACGCTAACACTCACTCATTTATGCAGAATTGTACTCAAACGAGGAATAAAGTATTAAGCTATCGATGCAAATGACTTTATCAGTATTCCTCCAGAATTCAGACTTCCTCGTCGATGCACAAATTAACCAGGATATCTAATCCTTGCAGTACTTTAGTATCGTCCTTAACCGCTACATGCTCTAGCTCGAGAACACGCTGATACGTACACTGCCGTCCATAAGAATTTTTTCAACGCTTTCACGTTATCGTTAAAGTAAAATTAATCAAAAAAAATATATGAACGAACGATAATTAAAGTTGAAGAAAATGTGGTTCTGCAGAGGCACTCGAGTGCGGCGACCTCAAGTGTTTCTACGCTACTCTTTTTTAATTATTATGGATGATTCAAATCTAGAACCTTGTATGCATTTCATTCGTTAGAGACAAACATGGAGCTAAAGCGATGCAGGCGTTTCCTTCGTTCCATTTCGACTAGCAGTACTTGTGAAAGAAAAAGAATTAATCGTAGGATAACATTCTTCTATTAAAACTTGAACGAAAGAAGGGTATTCGATTAGGCGAACAGCAGTCGATGCGTCGGGTTCCTTAGTGCAATCGCTAAATTCGCGAACAAAGATCTGCGGTGGTAAGCAAAGAACTTGACAGTCTAAGAAAAGCTACAGATTTGGAAGAAATCGATGGAACTACGAACCATCAGGGGCTGTAGCTATGTTTAATCGTAGCTACGGTACTTGGCGATCCCGAGGTAACCGAGCCGAGTAATGTAAAGCACGGTAATGTAAGAAGTTAAGGATTGATGTAAAACGATGTAAATGTGATATAGAAGAAGAACACGTATGTGCAAGACTGGTGAATTGTAACAAGCAAGACTGTACCGATAAGTACAATAATCGATGTAAAACTGATTACGTACCCTTACCAAAGAAAGAAACAAACGAACAAGTGAACAACGAGGATGAGTAGTTGTTTGAAAGTTGTTTCAACATGCAAATTGCACGGTATCGGATAAAGTCCACCAGATATCCAAATACTTATGAACGGTAGCGTACATATTGCACTTTGTTGCCATCCCAAGTCCTGATTCCCGCTAGAAACAACCAAGTAAAACCATCTCGAAAGTATATTTAATACTATACTTTTAAGTATTTCTAACCATCGACCTCAAGAATCTCGGGATAATTCTTACGAGAGAAAATATTTAAAAAAAAAAAAAAAAAGAAGGATTAAACAGCAGCCCTTTTCCCGATCAGTCGAAACGATACACGATATTTACATCTATCGCGGTCCAGACCCGTTCGATAAACTACAAAAAGTCATCGACCAAAAAAAAAAAAGAAAAAAAAAATGATATCGAGAACACATTCACGCAGCATAAGCAGAACACTGTTAGACACCACCACGAAACACGTTCAAGTACTCGAAATACGCTCGGAACTAGGGCTGGGACTATACTAACATTCGGTAGCTACACGAATATCGTTTTCGATTCCGCGATTCGATCGTAATTATTTCATCGTTTCGTTAAAAACATCAAGACTAGAGCTTCCATCGTAAATCGATTTATTTACATTGCTGTAATAACATTTTAAAGCATAGTTTTATATCGCTTTTAATTCACTTACAAGCTCACAATTAGTATATATATATATATACGTGATAGGTATCTTTGAATCGAAACGAAAAGTTTGCGACTATCGACGGTATTCAACGATTTCTTTTGTTCGCGTTTAGCGCACAATTAATCGTACGGTACGCGTGTATGAAATGAAAGTATCATAGAAACACAGTGAATCCCGTTTAACGTGTCATAGCCGTTGAGGAATTCATCGAGGCTCGCTACGGGCGATGGCGAGGGTAACTACGCGACTTTTACTTGGACATAGTATTTTGGTGCCTCGTAAATAGGATTCACTGTAAATGTAGGCGTGGTATCTACGCGTATAGTTTCTTCGCGAAACCTACCGGCGCGTGACACATTGCAAACTGATCGTTACCGTAAATGCACTCTTTATTAGACACGATAGGTCAAGTATCGTTCAATCGGTACGACGATTAGACGGTAGTTGCTCGTGAAAATGATCAACTTAGTCAACTATCCTTAACGCGTTAACTATCGTGCGAGACATTGGTACAAATTCACACCGTCGCTTTAAATACCTTACGAACTAAGAGAAAAAACGCCTCCTAATAATCAAGTACAAGTTTTGTTTAACATTCGATCGGTTTCCTTACAGGATACCTCGAAAAATCCTTTTCTCCTCTCTCTCTCTCTCTCTCTCTCTCTCTCTCTCTCTCTCTCTCTCTCTCTCTCTCTCTCTCTCTCTCTCTCTCTCTTTTTAACGAGGTTTCGTGCGATCCTTAACAACGAACATCTATACGTACAAACCTACACAATTCTACTACTAAGTGCATGATCGTGTACAAACACGTTTCATTTCTTTCAAAAAAAAAAAAAAAAGTACGCGTACGTATTATCTGCTACAGTGGAAACGGGTTGCCTAAACTTTACGAATTTATCGCGTACAATTATCGAAGCGAAATCAATGGAAAAAAAAGAAAAAAAAAGAATAAACGTACAGAATCGTCCAACCTTTGACCGACATAAATTTTCGATGTAGAGATGGAAATGCACGCGATCGAAAAAAAAAATCGAACTTTTAGAATTTTTCCGATTCGCCGCACCTGCCACAGTTCGAACGTATCTTCGCGAAACGCTACAGCGTAGCTCGTTTACCTCCTAGACGTAATTATTTATTAGACGTTTCATAGATATTTATTTATTTATTGGGGATAGATACAGCAACGTACACGTATGACTTATAATATAAGATACTCAAACAATGTCGATCATTGGAATCGAACCAATCGTTACAAAGCGACACACAACGGACAACAATTTGCAAAAGTTCGATTTTTATCGATCGATTGCCATCGTAAACGATCACGAAAGAGAGCTTCGAAACTCGTGCGAAAGCTTGCGTCGCCGAATATAATTTCGCCGCCGTTTCCAAAATCTTCGTATACGGTTAAATATCGTTCTGGTTCGCACGAGTTTTCCGATCAAAGATATTTACTCGCTACACTTGGACACGATAAATTACTTAGCGATAACAACGTATGTATACTTTTACGGTGGCGTAACGCAGCGGAGTCGAAAACCAAGAACCGGAGCTTCGACGCGTTTCGTTGCCCCGTCTCGTTGGGATAACGCCGCTTATGGTTTCCACCGGTCCTAACGCGACTTTCGGCTCTATTAATCGCGACAAAAAGAAGATTCGTGCGAATAGAGGCTACGCGCCGATTCGATGCAAAACGGGGGTGGGGTTGCCACGGATAGAAAAATAGTATTCTACGAGAAATCAACGGTTAGCTGTGGCGTAGTTATTCAAAGTTCCCGAACTGTGTCGATCGAACATATTTGTATTCCCGTCGTTCCGGATCGGTCGATCAACGAAGATATCGTTTTCGTTTAATTTCGTACACAAAGACAATGTTTACACGAAGCCACCGGCGAAAGGAACAAAAACTATTGGTTCTCTTATAGTCTCTCATACGCGTTCAACTGTGGTAAACATCTGGAAAGTCAATATACAGTATATGTAAACTGCAAAACTAGATAGTTGTGTGTAAGGCACTGTCTATGCGCTCCATCGAAGCAGCTATGTTCATCTTGGATCGCAAAGAAAAATCGAGCACGCGAATAACGGGCGTGTAAACAGAGTCAGTGTAACATTCGAACTTTCTCTATGGACGATTTTACGCGTTTCGTCTTGAATCTCGTACAATAGCGCTCGACTATACGCGAAGAATATCCAAGAATCGACCTATCTTTCTAATGGGATAATACACACGTCGAGATGGAATCGAAAATATAACAGTTTTTCATTTGTATTGGTAATGAAAGTTCGATGAAATCTTCCGCAGACGTCGTCTCGAGCTGAAGAACGTAAACAGCGACGGGAACGATCCTTTCGCATCTAACCAGGGTAGATCTTTGCGTACAGTCGAGCGCTACTACATACACTGCGTGCATTTTTACACGAGTGCAGCGTCCGTCACGCAACATTTGGCCACGATTCGTTTCGTTCGTGTCCAAAGATCTCGTAAGACGCTGCAACTCGCGCGTCGACCAGTGATCGGCAAAATTTCTACTCCATCGAATCGTTGCTCGGCTAACCACGAATTTTCACTTCGAAATTCGAACTTCCGTTTACCGATCAACGAGTAGATAAAAGCTTGCTAAACCCTGGCATCGACTTGGATGCACGATTCGAGTTTATCGTCGCCTCGGAACACTGTAATTCTATTGATATGGATATCTCGTGCTTCGTATACGCTATTATTTCTCACCTAACGAATAGGTATCAGTTTTGTTTGCACGCGATCCGCGACTGTAATTATTATCGTTCCGGTGATATTTCTCGCGAACGCCAACAGTCGTCGCGGAGATCCTAACGGTGACGATCAGACGCGTAACAGAGATCCACGGAATAATCGATTCGCGTATCGGTACCAGTTACGAGTACGACAAAAAGCGATTAAACGACTCAGCGACCGCCTAAAGCACTGTACAGTAATGACTAGAATCCTTACAGAGTTGAAGACGCTTTATCGCTTAATAACGTTACATATCGACGACTAAACGCGTGTCTCTCAACGCGTCGACGCTGGCGTTCGGTGTCTGCACCCTACGCCGGCGTCAACGCGTCAACTAGCGATGGGATCGAGCTTTACGTTAATCACTTTCATCGATGGGCTATTTCGAAGTCAACAGAATGAATTATTTTTTTTTTCTCTTTTTTTGTTTTGTGAAAAATATATCACCCGTTCAAAGTCAACGGTTGAGAGCGTAGAAATGCTTCCGTGGCTCATTGTACATTTTCAAGTCTTGCAGCTATTTCTAGAGCTCGAGTAAAGCAAAATCTCGATCGTTCGATCCCAAAGCCTGGAAGTACACGCGCGTAATAACGGAGGTATGTGTGCTGGATCACGGAATGAGAATGAAATTAAACGACATTGTTGTTTTTTCTCCGGGGGGGGGGGGAGGAAAATAAATCTCCGGTTCGATTAACGGATTTCGTGCGTTTCGAGTCCTCGCTGGAGTAACACAGCGTTGGACGTCACGAAACTGAGATCGGTAAACGATAAGTAAACTAAGTCACATGTTACTGTCCTCGAACATGCTGTATTACGGTTCAACGTTCGATTAATACTAGAGATTACCTGGCGCATACTTTAATACTTTACGCACGAAACGCGCGTTATCTCGCGACGAGCCGCTCGTTACGAAAGTCTTTTCGACGATCGAGTCAGATTCGTGGGCGTGTAGACTTGAGTGGGCATCCGGCGCCGCGCTTTTATTAGAATTTCGGATAGCGTGTCGCGACAACAAAAAAATCGGCACGATGAACTTCACCTTGATTCGAGTCTTTCGTTTTACCTAGAAACGTGCGAGCCCGCTCGACCGGGTCCCCGAGACGCGAACTTTCAGGAGTAACGGTAGCAACTTCGTCCGAACCGGTACGAACTCGGTCGAACGAATTACGATCGATACGAGTCGGTGGCCGATGCTCGTCACGGGCTTGCACATCTCTAATTCCTTCCAATCGTACCTGTCGCAGTACCATCGTGTACCTTCTGTCAACGTCGAGGGCTTAGGAACATAGAACTGATAACGCAGGAACACAATACTCGCAGCACTTTCGCAACGATCGGCTCAAGTATCGAACGACAATGCATCGACGATTAAGTAGATCTACGATGGTTCAGCGACGCGTTCCATGGTACGCGCGAAACCTCCTACTTTTCGCCGAACGAAAAAAAAAAAAAAGAGAGAAAAAAAAGGCTTTGACAACTCGTCGAGGTAGCGCTAATTGCGTACGAAGGAAAAGTAAAGAAAAAAAAAAAGAACAAAAAGGAAATAGAGAAAATGAACGTTCGACGTAACGGAAGGAGGTCGAAAAGAATAAGAACGTCGAAGGAAAAAAAGAGTGTCCCGACTCGAATGGTTCAACTAGAGAAGAAGAACATAGAGAGAACCAGGGCGGAGCGAGAAGCAATGTTTCTCGGCGTATCGAAACTGAAATCTACGAGTCCAATTCTTCCTTCGAGCTGCGCTGCTTCTGGATATTTTTTCGCAAATGTATCTTTTTTGGCAAGTGTATGTTATGTTTCAAACGCATGTGACGCCGCAGGTCGGTTCTACGACTGAGAGTGGTGTTACATAGGATGCAGGTTGTCTGGTTGCGATGCATTTCAAGGTGCTGGGTCAGCGAAGCAAGGTGCTTGTATACGCTTCCGCAGAGACTGCACGAAAAACGCCCTGGACCCTGAACCACCACATGACCAGTTGTAGCGCCAACATGCTCCCGATTGTCTCCCACCCCCCCTGCAACACATTAACAGCCACGTCACCCGCCGAATCCTCATTCATTGTTTTCTAATCAATTACATTCAATCAGATAGGGGGGGGACAGTAACACGCAACACAGACTAAACCGTACGTTGTTCCACCTGTGCTGGATACCTGTGTACCGCCTGCTACCGTCGCTTGCCACCACACGGATCCTCGCCAGCGACGGGACTGATACCAAATAGCTAGCGTATCCTTTCGACAACCACCCCGAAAAACCACCTTTCTTTCTCTCATCGAGACTCGATCGCCTCGACATTTTCGATATACCGTATCAGTCCCACCGCTAATCCTCGGCTGTTCGCGAAGCTGGATCGCGCCGAGACGATTGTTCCGGTCACTGTAAAATGTCTCGATTTCTCGTCTATCGATCTTTCAACGGAATCTCCATCTGCGATCCGGCTTGGCGAGCGATCCCCCTTCGGAACGCTAAACACGTTCCGACATGTTCCCCCGATTATACTGACTTTGTCGTGAAACAGCTTGCATCGGTTTCGTATTTTTCACACGGTGATGCACGTTGTGATGCTATTAGCGTGTGAAAATCGAACAGAAAAGAGAGACGTGGCAGTGAGAAGCGTGAAGATGTTGAAGCGTAATTGATTAACATGACGCAACGGGAACCGCTGAAAGTAACCCAATTATACCATGTTCGGAACAGGACCGCTACCTTTGCGAGCGAATCTTTTCGGACGCGTAAATGCCGCGGCGGAGCCTACGTTCACGTCGTTTTGGGAGAAGATTGTTTGCGTGGGAATTGCGCAGGCAACGACGACAGAGCGCGTCTGTTCCGGTGGCGTCTCGTAACGTGGCTAAGTGCTCGTTTGGTATGCGATACTTACTCATCGACACCGACATTAAAACCTAACACGAGCGGCAACGGTATCAAAATTTTGACGAGACGCTCTTTATTTAAGAAAAAGGACTCGCTTGAATTCAGATTTTGAAACTTTATTCACACACAATTTTTTTTTTTGTTTTTTTTTGTTTTTTTTTTATCGTTTTACTTACATCGTTAACTCGCATAAGCCAAACATAAGATTATGTAATGATATATTATAATATTTTTATGTATATATATATATATATGGATTTATATATTTATATATATATATATATTTATATATATATATACTTTTTATGTATAGATAGTTCTTATTTTTATAAATAATCAAAGAAAGAAATATCAATTCTTCTAAAGTAATAATTGGCAATCTTGTACTTATTTGTATTGTGGCTTCTGAGGAATGTGCACATTCGTTTCCTTTAAATTAAATATATGCCTACCATACACAAGTGTAAATAAACGTGTATACATATCTATGGTATTTCCGCGTTCCTATCAGAACTTAACTTACACCGCAACGTAAGGTAACATAAGTAAAAAAAAAGAAAGAAAGAAAGAAGAAAAAAAATAATAATGAAAAGAATTATAATCAACGTACAACGGAATATAAATATAAATATAAATATATATATATATGTATATATATATATATGTATCGCACTACTAAAACACTGATTCGTGCCACTAACAAAATATGTTCTGCTAATTTCGATAAAAATCGTCGAAATTAGGGTAATAATTATTAGAATTAAACACGTGCAAGTTGTGCCACGTAAATTATAACAAGCACGAAACATATCGCATGCGATCGCAAATTTTAACGCAAGCATCGTTAATCTGCGAACAGAACGTCCGCTCCTTCGCGCGAACGGAAAAAAACGTTAACGTCGACTGCCACTTGGACTCGTTCACGAATTCCATTCGAAAGTCGTATCTATCGTATTCCGCAACAATGTTGAAGATCGTAAACTAGCTTCGATTTTGTACTTCGTCGCGTCGCAATCAAGTTCCGCGTGCAATGTGTTTTTCTCAACGTTGATCGCGCTCGATCGACAACGTTCGTTAGACTTTGGCATAAAGCGAAGATTGCTGTCGACGTAAGATAAAAAGACGGCAAAAAAAAAAAAAAGAAGAACGCGAACAAGAGATCATATCGCAGGTGAATCGTTTGCCTTATCGTCGAACAGTAGCCTCTTTGTAATTGCACAGGAAAGGAAAAGACTTGACTCGAGTCGGGATGAAGGCTCGTCCCGACTAGAGTGGTTCTTCGGATTAAGATTAAATAATAATTACAGCGTAAAGGTGAATCTAAATTAGATCCCAACTAAAACATAAACAAAAGAAGAAACAAACAAACAATAAGCCCAACAAAAATGAAGAAAAGAAAGAAAGGTAACGTAAATATAATAAATCGGAACGAAAGACGTTCAACTTTCGCATCCTTCTATCAGGGATATACATACGAACGAAAAATAAAGTTCTACGCGTATCGTACAGATATGTGTATCGCGAATTTGGCAAGTCTCCGAGCTTAACACTAAAAATACACGAGTATGTTTAATATCATGAACCTATATATGGCCAAAATAGCCTGGGAGACGACGCGAGTAGCCTCCGAGACGCACAAATGAGCAACTCTGAAACGCCAATGGCTGTCGAAAGGGAACAGTCTGGCCGTAAAACGTCGAATAAGAATAAAATGGCACGAGGCTTTGGTACGAGGCTGTACACATGGTGCGCAAAAGTCGTCGCAAGCACGCGACGGGCTTTCGTACTTGTTGGCGCAAGTTTCGTAAAAATGGAGCATCCTTCGCGATGTCACGCGTCCGAAGGTACGTATCGAAAGCTAATAATGCCATAAACTGCCAATGATTCGCGTGATTTCCGATAACGAACGAAACTTTACCACGCGAATACGCGACGTCCGATGCCCTCGAGGAAAGTTCTACGATCCTTGGCAACGCTTTTAAAACGTAAGACGGTCGTCTAGGTGCGCAGGCGGTGGTACGGTGAAAATTGCCGTCGGATCCGGAGGCTTTCGTCGAGGCGCGAGATTTGCGAAAAATTGATCGAATCGGATCGAAACGATTTAACTAAAAAGACATCGAGAAGCCTCGAAAAACGATTAAGCGATTCTGTTCAGTCTCACCGTCGATTCACGGTTATTCTCGTGGGTCGATCGCACGAAGAAAGATGCACATTCCTCCTTAACGCTATTAAGTACCGAACTCATTTGACTAGATAAAATAATTTGCTTTTTTTCTTCTTCTTCTTCTTCTTCTTCTTCTTCTTCTTTCCCCTCTGCGTATGTCTTTGGTTACAAAAGAAACGTTTACGTAGATGTTCCGCGTGGTTGCGCACGCGACCTCTTTCTCGTCATCTTCTTTCGCTTCTACATCGTCTTCATCTTCCTCTTTGTTATATGCATATACACATATACATTAAATGTACGCACACATACACGTATGTGTACAAAATGACTAGGGCGTAAAGTGTTAAAGACAGGCATCTTTAATATAGGTATCCCGTCGACGACTAGAGTGGAATAGGTTGTTACGACAAAAACGCTGCCCGTGTTATTTGCACGAATAACAAATTAAAGGCGACGCTTCCGACGCTTGCGTTCGGAAAAAATTCATTTCCCGCCCCAGGGCAGCCTTCGGGGTCTGGGCCAAAGGTGGCCAGGAACGCAGACTATACGTTACGCGAACGTAGCTTTCTTTGGTTTTTCTTAGGTTTCTAAAAATTCGGTATTTCCTACGATATTTCTTTTTTTACTACGCGATTATAATGGTTGCGCGCGATGGCACGATTCGTTGTTTCAACGAACGACTTTCGACGCGACTTTTCAACGACGAGAGAACGTAGACGATGTCGTTTACGGTGTAAAGCTACTAAGAGCACCCCGTTTCACGTGACCACAGAAGTAACGTGCACACGTGAAATCGGGATTTTATGCACTTTAAACACGTGACGTTATCTCACGCGATACCGATACACGTGCTCTTCGGCTGGCGCTCCTCGTTCCACGTGCGCTTAAACTTCACCGTACCATTCGACGCTTTTATTTCCACGTGCTTGGTCGTTCGAGTTCAACACGTTCACGCCGGCTTGCATCACGGATGGGTCAATCGTGTCTCTGGTCCATGGGGCGGCTTGCATCACCGGTGGACCAAGAACGCCTTAGTGAAATCGACCGCCGCCCCACGGCGCAGACACTGAAAAACCGCGTCGGCGTCGACGTGTTAAAGGTGCATCCTTTAAAAAATTTCAAATGAATAAAATTGTTCCACTTCTTTTTCTCTTTTTTTTTTTTCTCTCCATACGTTTTCGTATTTTTTCCTATTCAAGTCCCGTTAAAAATTCTACTTGTCGGACACGAGGAAACAAAAGCGTCGAAACGCAATCGATCGATTTTAAACGGCCGTGAAATAAAAAGCACAGCCATTTGTTCACGTGTTCTGCGATGATTTTCGCACACGTGCCACGCGTACGCGTGTACTTGGATACACGTAACACGATCGTAAGCTCTGAGAAACAACCTAACCGATAGGCACGTATGCCTATGCACGCAGGATGTCTCGGCGATCGTAGCCGCAGCCAACAAACAGACGATTCTTCGTGCAAATATAATTCGACACTGAATCGAAATTTTTTTTTTTTGGACATTATCAACAAAAATTCGATCAAAGATTTGAACGATTGAAAAAATAGATCGACAGAGCCAGTATCTCCGAAGCAATTGTGTTATAGCAGAAACAGAGGCCCAAAAAGTTATTACTCTACATTCTCAACGTATCTTGTACGCAGAATCACCTCTTACTTGGTCGTGCCGCTGCAGGACACCCTGTACGATCCTCGAGGAAGAATCACCGGTTGTGGTTTGACTCGCGCGAACAATAAATAAATGATACGTATACGTACGGAAAAGTAGTACGTATCGATCTAAGGATAAAACAATTTCGGATCGTTATCTATCGACAACGATCTATTCCGGCGAACGTTGATGCGGAACGAGGGATTGCGGTGACGGGTGAGAATAGGTGGGAAGGTTCGCGAAAGGATCGTGTTCTCCGTCGTCTATCCTCTCGTACGTCGACGGGCTTCTACGTTCGACAAAGGCATACTC